GCAGCTCATGGTGAGTTTTTCACCAACTGAAACATGGGCATTCAGCCCCATCAGAGTCAGCACAATAGCCTCTCTGCTCTCATCACCACCTCAACCAATGTACAACATGCCAGGCAGGCTCTCAAAGGCTGAGTGCATATGACCTTGGGCAAGAGTTTCCTATTTGGGTTTTTTTCCCTTTTTTTATCCCACTCCCTCTCCCACCCATCTTTTCTTTCATCCACATTATGTTTAGATGAGAACCTTGCCTAACCCTAACCCCTAACCCCTAACCCTAACCCTAACCCTAACCCCAAACCCTAACCCCAACCCTAACCCTAACCCCAAGGGTTGCCAAGGCAGGGCAAAATGTGTTTGCACAGCCCTTGGGGCTCCTAACCCTAACCCCAAGGGTTGCCAAGGCAGGGCAACATGTGTTTGCACAGCCCTTGGGGCTGAAACACCCTGTGACAGTCAGTAGTGGCAGTGCCATTCACCACCCCTGGAAGTTTTCAAGACAAGACTAGATGTGACACTTAGTGCCATGGTCTAGTGACCATAGTAGAGTTGGACTCCATGATCTTTGAGGTCTCTTCCAACCCAGTTGATTCTATGATTCTAAGTTGGGCTGAGAGGATGAGATAGACCCGCCCAGCTCTGAGCATCCCTGTACAGAGGGTAGAAGCTGTGGAGAAAGGCTGAGCAGGAGCAAGGAGAAGGGCATTACCAGCAGCTCCAGGAGGGCAGTGGTCACAGATGACCTGACCACCTGGCCCTGCAGAGCAGCCCTGGCCAGGGCCACAGGGACAGGCCCTGCAGCTCTGTGGCTGCTGAGGGTCGCGGTAAAAGCCGACGGGGCAGCTCACAATATTGCCCACATTTTCATCTCCTGAGTAGCATTCACCTGGAAAAGGAAGGAAAGGGCTTAGGGCAGTGTGCTCATATCCCTGGGGGGATACCCTCTGCCACACCACCCACTGCAGCACAGGCACCTCCACCAGATCCCTTCAGATCCCCACACCTGCCCATCCCATGCTCCACTCAGAACCACAGAAGGGTTGGGCTGGAAGGGACCTTTAAAGGTCATCTAGTCCAACCCTCCTGCAATAAGCAGGGACATCCTCAACATTTCAGCTGCTCAGAGCCCTGTCCAACCAAGGGGTTGCTATGCTTAACTTTAAAACAAGAAGTCAGAAGAGCAGAGTTTTATGCTGTCTGGGCAGCAGGAACTGCCTTTTTCTCTCTCCATTATGCATCACCTAAACCCAGTTTGATCCAAGTGCATCTGATTGCAACATGTCTAGGCTCTAGGCAGTTTTGTCTGTTGTGCTCCCCACATTCCAGCCCTCCCCAAATCAGTGTTCTTACCCCACTCTGCACCCCCACACCTCACTACAGCTCACTTCTCCAAAACCAGACAGCCCCCTCTGTGCTCCCACACACCCTACACACACAGCATGGTGGTGCCTCCTCTTACCAGTGTCAGGATCACAAATTCCTCCCCCCTGGCAGCTGCAGGGCACACAGATGCTGAAGAGGCCCTGACCAGGGCTGTCTCTGCGGTATCCATGGGCACATCTCTCGCAGAACTGCCCCCCGTACGCCGCTGGGCACTCACAGTGCTCCACCCAAGGAGCAGGGACCCCTGGGACAGGCTGTGCTGACACCAGGGTGACATTGTCGATGTAGCCAGTGCCTGGAGGGAGGTACAGTGTCACCCACGGGTGACAGCAGCCCCAGCTGCAAGGCCCCTGCACCCAGGACCTGCACAGGTCACCCTTACAACACCCGTGGGCAGATGGACCAGCCAAAAACTGTTGCCATCCTGCTCAATCTCTTCATCATCTCATTTTACCCATCTTAGGGCATGTTTAAAAATTATTTTTAATAGCTTTTAGCAAAGGTGTCTCCACCTGGAGACTTGGCCTCTCCAGCAATGAGGAGACGCCAACCCTGTGCTCACAAGCTCTCCCAGCACTTACTGTACTCCCCGAAGGTGGCTCTGATCCAGAGGGCTGTCAGGTTTCCCAGCAGCCTGCGAAATTCAAAGTGGTTCAGCCTCGGGCTCCACTTGTTGCTTGGGTGCTCATCCAACCTGCCGTGGGAGAGGGGAGAAGTGGAACCAGTTTCCAGAAAACAAGAAAACTTGGCAGCCCTCACCCATCTCCCTCCTAAGCTCAAGGCTTTAGGGAACAACCTCCAGCCCTGTGGTTGATATTGAGGCAAGCACCCAGCCCAGTCTCAAGATTTTCTGCTCACAAAGTAACTTCTTCATCCAGGAGAGAAGCACCTGAGATGCATCCAGCCCAAGCCAGGCAGCTATCTGCCACCTCCAAGAGATCAAGGACCCCCTTGAGGCTGCAGCCATTTTTGCCCCCCCAGTTCTCCCTTTACCTGAAGGTGTACGTGTGGCTCACACCACAGGGCAGGACCTTCCCCTGGGGCAAGAAGGGAGCAGTGACTCTCAGGCCACCTCCTTCCAGGACCACATCATGTGGAGATGGCTGCAGTCCCCCTCGGTCCAGGCGGTAATCGAAGGAGAGTGTCTGGCCATAGCTCAGCTGCTGGTTCCCAAGAAATTTCCCTGGAAAGGAAAAACAATGGCGTAAAACCCTGCCTTCCTCCTAAAGGCTTGGTTCATGGGATCAGACCAAGCAAAGGGTTCACTGTCACCTTTTCCCCTCGCCCATCTTGCCCCTACCAGGTGCCATGAAGTATATCGGCTCCGACGTCCTCGCCGCTATGAAGACATCCCGGTGGCGTGGGGACCACTGGAGCTGGGCTGGGGAGCCACTCTCATAGACACCTCGCCAGCCTTCAGCACCTGCAACACCAGTAAGGAGCCATCAGCAGGGACAGGGAAGGTGTTTCCAGAACTCAAGCAACTTTCTTCAGCTGTATCTTATCAAAACCCTCCAGCTTCCTACCCCTTGACCTCAACGGGGCAACACAGCTATCCCTGTGCCCATACATCCATGAATAAATCAGGCTGGGCAGAGAGGTTTCCTCCCAGGTGGCAGGAAAGACATGATGAAGCAAGACTACACTCTATCCCAGCTTTGCACCCTACTTCTGCCTATGATCAAGCCATCCCACCCATCAAATCAGGGTTGCTGCAGCCAAAGGCAATTTGGATGAGCACCCAAGGAGCAAGTGTAGCCCCAGGCTAACTCCCAGCAGAGCTGTGAGCCAGGCAAGCTCCTCCAGCACATCAAAGAAAGGGATGGGCAAACACCCCCAGGAGCCACAGGGATGTCCTGCTTAGGCTTCACCTTGCTGGAAGGTGGAGGTGATGTTGTAGACACTGTGGTTGTCTGCGCTGACACACGTAGCTGAGTGCCCGTAGCAGAAGCAGGGGGAGCATCCCATGGGGTTTCTGGCATCCAGGTTATAGAAGTTTCTCTTGCACCTGGGAAAATACAAGAAGGTAACAACATTCAAGCCCTTTTTCTCCTTCTACTGGCCAACACAACCAGCCTTCTGATGACAGCTGTGCAACACAGTCCTTGCCAGGGTTCGAGGTCATGGCCAGGCTGGGATGGCAAGATGGGCATGAGCAATGGCTCCACACTGCCAGGGGACAGGGTTAGATTGGAAATTAGAAATAAATCCTTCCTGTGAGGGTGCTGAGACACAGGCACAGGTTGCCCAGAGAAGCTGTGGGTGCTCCATCCCTAGGAGTGGGGGCAGGTTGGATGGGGCCTGGAGCAACCTGGGCTGGTGGGAAGTGTCTCTGCCCATGGCAGGGGGTCAACTGGATGAGCTTTAAGGCCCCTCCCAACCCAAAGCATTCCAGGACACACTGATTCTGTGCACTGTCAGGGAGATGGAGGACATACCCCCCAGAGGTCCTGCTCACACCCACCTGTGGCACCGCTCTCCGTCAGCGCTCGCCTTGCAGACACAGCGGCCGGAGTGGCAGTCCCCAGTGCTGCCCGCCGGGTCACACTCACACTGCAGGCTCCTGCAACAGAGACAGGGGGAACCTCTAGCTGGATTTCCAGCCTGGCCTGGGAGCTCAGTGCCTTCTCTTGTCATACAAGACAGCAGAGAACCCCCCAGATCCCATCCCATGCTACAAGGGGAGAACGAACCGGCAGAGCCATCTCTGCCAGCTGCAGTGGTGTGGGTGCCAGGCTGGGACTACCACCAGAGCACCCAACCCACCTGCAACAGCAAAGCAAACCTCTGCTGAGCTTAATGAGCCCTGGCTGAGTTTAACAGACCTTGGCTGAGCTCCAAGAAGCAGCAGCACCTCGGGGGAGGCTCGGGCAGGGGGCCAAGCACAGCAGCACTGCTGCAGCAGCCACCCCTTGCCCATACCCCTCACCTGCCAGGGGCCCCACATGAGCCATGGTGGGTGAGGTGAGGAAGAGAAGGACATAGTGCTGAGGAAACCAGACCAGGAATGCTTCTAAAAGTGTTGAAACAGCACTTTGTGCAGAGGAAGGGGTTGATTTTTGCACGCACACCTTTGCACAGGGACAGTCCTTGTGAGCAGCACCAACACCAGACAGCCCCACGGCAGGCAGGTTTGGGTCTACACAGCCTGGCCTGGCTGCTCCCTGTTTGGTGCCGTCTAGGTAACAAAAACAGTCACCTCAGAGCGTGGTTAGGCTCAGATTCTGACACTGGTGCATGACAGCAAGCCCTGCAGGCTGGCAGGGAGGTGCAGCCCTGCTCCAGCCCTGTGAGGTTAGCTGGAAGCTTTCAGTGTGCTGCCAAAAAGAAACTCTGCCCCTGCATGTGGTGCTTCCAGCCAGCACAGGTGCTGGGATTGCTGTGGGGGCTGTCCCTCCCGCTGTCCCCATGTCACTGGTGGTGGTCAGCACTCACTGCCCACTCCTCTGGCACCCGGCCTCGGTCAGGGGCTCAAAGCCTGGCTGGCACTGGTCACACCTCCTGCCCATCACACCAGGCTTGCAGCTGCACCGGCCGTCGCTGTCACACTGTGCACTGAGGGAGCCTGTGGGAAGAGGGAAGGAGAGGTTGGGATGGGCACCAACCTGTGTCCTCCCGATGGGACACGAGAGCAAAGCACCACGCTCACTGCAGCTGCAGCACAGGGACAGGTCCCTGCCCTGAGATCCACACACAGGGCTGAGACACCAGGGCTGTTAAAGCTGCTCCAGCCTCTCTGGCTGATGCTGTGGACTTGGAGGAGATAAATCCCTACAGGCATTGACCAGGTGTCCATAACAAGGACCTTCTTCCCTACCATGAAGGTCACTGCAAAGGACAAGATGAACTCCAGGGCATGCAAACCAAGCAGAGAATATTTCTTCTTCGTCAGACTCTCTGCTAGCAGACATAGGTAAAACTTGATTTTGGTGCCTCTGCGAGGATCCTGTGGGGCTGAGGGCCATGGCAGGACCTTCAGGATCTTTGCTTTCAGACCTACAGGTCATCCCTGCATGGCTGTGCTGGAGGCAGCTAAGGGGATATGTGCCCTCCCACCACCTTAAAGCCTATTGTTCTGTTTCTTGCCACCTATTTTTCACGTGCAGGTGATGCTTCTAGTGGTCCTCCTGCATCGACAGAGACCAACAGGCATTTCAAGACCTGCAGCACCAGAAGGGGACAGTCCCCCACCCTGTGGGGGTGGGTTGGAAGGCATCTGCAACCCAGTCCAACCCCCTGCCATGGGCAGGGACACTTTCCACTAGATCAGGTTGCTCCAAGCTCTGTCCAGCCTGACCTTGAAGACTTCCAGGGATGGGGCACCACAACTTCTGTGGACAACCTGGGCCAATGTCCTACCACTTCCATCATAAAACATGTCATCCTTATGCCAATCTAAACCTCTTTCAGTTTAAAACCTTTGCCCCTTGTTGTGTCACTACAGGCCCTGGTAGAACATCTCTGTCCATCCCTGAGCACTTTGCACCATCTCCCCTCCCGAGGCAAAACGCTGCGAACTCGAGGATTATCCTTTCAATTTTACAATGCAATTCAAAGCCTTTGTGAAGCCTGTTAAAAGGCTTCAATAAAGTCTCCTGGGAGCCTTCTCTTCTCCAGGCTGAACAATCCCAGTTGTCTCACTCTGTCTCTGTAGCAGAGGTGGCTCCAGCCCTTGGAACATTTCCATGGCCCCTCTGAACCCACTCTAATGGGTCTGTGTCTTTTTGCTGGGGAACCCAGAGCTGGAAGTCTTCAAGGTCAGGCTGGACAGAGCTTGGAGCAACCTGATCTAGTGGAAAGTGTCCCTGCCCATGGCAGGGGGTTGGACTGGGTTGCAGATGCCTTCCAACCCACCCCCACAGGGTGGGGGACTATCCCCTTCTGGTGCTGCAGGTCTTGAAATGCCTGTCTCTGGTCTCATGTGTAGGGACGCAGACCCTGACACATCCATGTGCTCAACAGATGCTTCGAGACCCCTGCACCCCTGCCAGGAGCTGCCCACGTACCCCAGGGGTGGCAGTTCCGGTCTCATGTGTAGGGACACAGACCCTGACCCATCCATGTGCTCAGCAGATGCTTTGAGACCCCTGCACCCCTGCCAGAAGCTGCCCACGTACCCCAGGGGTGGCAGTGGCAGGGCAGGCAGCACTCCTCCCCTCGCCGTCGGAAGAATCCCTCCCTGCAGCGCTCGCAGTGCACTCCCTCCGTGTTGCCCCGGCAGCCGACGCAGCGGTACCCGTTCCCCGTCTCCCTCAGCAGGTTCCAGTCGAAGACACACTGCCTGGACATCCCATTGCAGTTGCAGACTGGGAAGAGAAGAGGAGAGAGCCATCTCAGATGGTGCTGAGAGATGGGAGCACCAGCTGTACACCCACCCTGAGGGCCAAGGAGCAAGCCCAGGCAGTGCAAACCTCCCCACTTCTTGCTCTGTCTTCTTGCCACTTGTTTTTCATGTGCAGGTGATGCTTCTAGTGGTCCTCCTGCACCTACAGACCAACAGGCATTTCAAGACCTACAGCACCTCAGTGCAAGGTGTACAAGCTACCTACTTGCAGAGCAAGTCAAAACCCAGTGAGGATGAAGACATCTACTCTGTAACCACCACAGGATGCCCCAGAGCTGTCCCTGTGTCTCTGCACTTGTCCTCACGTGTCAGTGTCCATCAGCCACCCCAGTGCCACTGGTGCTCTGCACCCCTGTGCTGTGGAGTGATGCCAACTTCACTGCTCGCACAGCTCAGGATGGACAAACCCAAGCCAAGCAGTCCTGTTCCACACAAGGGCATGGCCAGGGCTGTTCTCCATCATTTCAGAGACTTCCAACACACTGAGGGCTTGGTGTAAACAGAGATCATTAAAATAACCCCAAACATTATCCTGAGAAAAGTATGAGGAACCTTACTGGAGACTCTGGGGAAAGAGGAGGATCCCTGGGGTTATGTTTTGTTCCACCTGGACTCTGACCATGACTGAGTTCAGAGGGAAAAGCTCAACCAACTTCCACCAGGTCCCTCCATCCAGGTCTGCAGTGCAGGGGTGACAAGGAGTGGTTTGTGATGTGAGGAGCTTGCTGGAAGTGTGCTAGCCAAGAGGGAGGTTAAAATAAAAGATGTGGGTGGGATTACACAGGTCACCCCACCCTCACCATGAAGGAAAGCTCCAGCTGCCCATATTGCTGCATCCTGGATGTCAGGAACAGGCATGAGGTTCTGCATCCCACTACAGCCAGGAGACAATCCCTCTGGAGAGCACACTGGCAGGTGTCTCACCAGATGTGTCTGCTCCAGAACTCCATTGCCCTGTCCAGGTGTTCTCTTGCAGCCACCTCTTACCTACCTGCCAAGCCCTCAGTGGCCAGTACGGGAGTGTTTCAGCCTGAGGACCTTTATTCCAGATGTATTCCTCAGCACTATGGAGGAGAGCAGGCACACCTGAGAGGACAGTTGGCAAGGACAGGAGAAGGAAGCTCCCCAAATGGAAAGGTTGGGCCCTCAGGGGTGCAGAGCCTGCTGAGAAGCTGCTCCAAACCACCCTAACACTGCTGTGCGAGCCCTGACGTCCCTCCGAGGAACTCTGCTCACTGCTAGGACACACAAGGCCACCCCCAGCTGCCCATCCCCTGCTCAGGTCACCTCTGAGAGCACAGGGAGGTGGAGGGAATCCAAAAGCAAGCAGAAACCTGCAGCATGGATGCAGACAGCACCTTGGACTCCATACACACTGAGGCTCCTCCTTCCCAGCGCTCTCCTGGCACAGTTCAGCTCCGGGATACAAGGTCCCTGTCCTCTGTGCCTGGGATTCCTGGGACAAGGTGAAGCCTCCTGTGCCCAGTGCTCACACCTGGGTGCTGCCTGCCACCCTCCCACACACCCATCAACACCCACATTCCAGATGAGGCACTCAGCAGAGCCCCTGCCAAGAGGAGAGATGACCTCATGCACCGGCAAACAGGGAGAGAGATTTTCCAGCTCTGGCAAACACAGCTCTTCCCTTACAGCCAGTTGCAGAAAGTCTTCTGCCACTCCAGCCTGCTGGGAGGGGACCCGTGGGCACAGAAGTCCTGCCTCTAGGCTGTGGGAAAGCATCTCCAGCCTCAGTGGGCACCACCAGTGACCAAAGCGCACGGACAACATGAATGACCTACCCACAGCAGCACCATGGGACTTTCTCAAGGTATTTGTGCTCACCGTCACAGTGGGAAGATCCCACTTGGGGTTGATCCCACCCCAATCCCTCCACCCTGCAGCTAGACCTCAAGTTGGAAAGGACCCACAGGGATCTCTGCAGCTAGACCTCAAGTTGGAAGGGACCCGTAAGGATCTGTGAGTTGAACCCCACCCACTCATCACCCTATGTCTACGTAATCCAGAGGATTTACTGGGTTGCTAAATTACAGGCATGAGCACCATTCCCCCAGGGAATGAAAACCTTTTATCCAGGTGCTGCTCTACGGCTGCTGCACGTAGAGCTAGGAACCAGCTCTCCAGCCCTGGCACAGATTCAGCTCTTGGTAATCTGAAGCCATTTAAAATGCTGCTGCATGTTAGTGCCATCACCTTACTGGTGTGGCTGCTCCTGGTCTTCTCCTGGAAACCCAAGAGCTCAAGGCAGGCTAATCCTCACCAAGAGAGAGGCACTGGAGTTGGTAACGAGATGGAGCATGCAGAAGCTGCTGGAAGATGAGGTCCAATTGAGGACAGGATCATTTCTGTATCCAGGTGCCCTGAGGCTCTGCTCTGAGATCATCTGTGGAAAAGAGCAGGCTCCACAGAGGAAAAGCTGTGCAGCTGGATTTCTTCAGTGCTACGTCAGGGCGCAGGAGGTCCGTGGCACACACCCAGCAAGACATCATTCCCCCAGCCCCAACCCAGCAGAACAAAGTGTGAAGAATGCTTGATGGCTGTGCTGAGAGGAACTACCACATCAGAAAGGCTTGGAGAAGGAGACAGGCAGCTTCAGACCTCTTAAACTGTCTTCTCAAATTCACAAAATGAGGGAGGCTCTGGGTCTGTGAGGAGCAAATCTGACACATGATCCTGTACACACAAGCTGGTCTGCCAAGATCACTCCTTCCTTCAGGAGATCAACGTGCAGCGAAGCCGTCACACCAACACAAGCCATTCCCTGCCCTGTGCTCTTGGGACAGTGACCCAGAAGGCTGTCCCATCTGCTGCCCCACGTCCTGGGTATCCCCACTGCCTGATCCACAGCTTTCTTGCTGCAGGAAGACCTGCCTGAGACTCCATCAGCACTGGCAGGGACAGATCACATGCTAAGAGCCAAAAGCTGCTGTTTGGTGTCTTCTGTTCTCCAGCACCCTGAGTCAGACACCTCGCTGGTATGGTAGAGCTCTGACCTACAGCTCAGCTCTTCCCTGAACCCTGGGAGGTCCCTCCAGCTGTTCTGTGCCAGCACACACCACTGAGGGCAAGACACACTGCTGGGGAAAGGCTCAATCAGAGTACAAGTGCCCTGACCTCTGCCAGATCACACCTGAACCCAGCGGGACTCAAACACTTGGTTTGCAGGCAAAAAGGAGTTACTTGGGCTAATCACAAGCACACATCCAGAGCCAGGACCAGAGAGAGCATGAGAGACTGTTCTACCCCCAAACCAACTCAGAAACTCTGCTGCAAAGTAAAAACACAGCCAATATTGACCATTGCTTTTACACACACACAGAAATAGGTTCAAGAGTCCATGGAAAAGCAGCAATTTCCCACACACTGCCAGGAAGGTGGAGGAGAATAACCTACATTAGTATTTTAAAACTTGCATGTAATTAAGGCTGATGTAATAATTCTCTCAGTAGCATGTAAAAGTCTTTTTAGAAAAATAACAAAAAACCCCACTTATTCAGCGCTTTTTCCCCTCATTGCACCACATTTAAAACTGACCAAATCCAACTTCAAGCCAAGTGAGTGTATTTCAGAACATGAGGACTGCAGTCAAAACCAACTGGAATCACTCAGTATTTACAAAATCCATGTGAAAACCCCATTTTGGCCAAATATACCCATCTCCAGACCATATACCTATACAACTGAAACTCTGGTGTTAAATTAACACTGGGCTGAACATGTTTAAATGTCCCTGCATTGCACTCTCTGCTACAATTGCATGTGCAAGAGGATCCACTGGATTTGTAACGCTCATCATCAGTCTATGGACTGTGGGAGACTCACCACCTCCCGTGGGGTGCAGTGGGAACGTGGGCACCTTGTGAGCCCCATGGACTCGCACAAAATCCAAGCACCACCACGTTATTACATCCAACTGGATGCTGGATGCTCCCAGCTCTTCCGGGCCATGAGGAAGGTTTTGGTTACAGCCACCCACTGCCTGGGTGATGCTCATGCTCACAGCCACATCCCACCCCAGCAGCAAAGCTTTGGAATCATAGAATCAACTGGGTTAGAAGAGACCTCATAGATCACCAAGTCCAACCCTATTGTGGTCACCAGCCCATGGCACTAAGTGCCACATCCAGTCTCAGCTTGAAAACCTCCAGGGATGGGGAATCCATCACCTCCCTGGGCAGCACATTCCAATGCCTGAGCACTCTCTCCCTAAAAAATCTCTTCCCAATATCCAACCTAACCTAGCCCTCCCAGAGCTGAGTCTGTGCCCTCTTGTGCTCGTGCTGGAGGACAAAGACCAATCCCCACCAGCCTTAGACAGAGAGCACTAACCTAACAGCACAGAAACACGTCACAAATAGGAGATGCCAGTGAAAAAAAAAAAAAACAACAAAGCCTAAACCCTCATGGGATATTTAACCTCGGAGGAAAACTGCGAAGCACTTAGAGCTGCAAGGCTAAGCGCAAAGGCAGGAGGGGAGAGCAGCCCAGCAGGGCACTGCACACAGAGCTCCCGGCGCGGGGCAGAGCTCGAGCAGAGCTGGAGCAGAGCAGGGAGG